AGTATAAATGCCTTTAGTAGCTTCTACTTACCTTGCAGATGACTTAATGCAGAAATCGCTTTGACTGAGTGACCGGTGTTCACAAGGTGTACGATTACTGAGCATATAAGTAAGCCATTCCTATCTCTTTTCAGCCAAGTCGAGTAATGTTCTTGACTTCAGCTGGATAAAATACGCATCGAACAATCTATAAACCTAGCTCCATACAAACAGGTAAATTGAGAAACACACATAGAATCGGTAAAATGAGATGATTTATTTTTAAATACATTGGTGAACATTGATCTTCTGGCGAACATTAATCACAAAGTTGCTGCAAAAACATTCTATTGAGGGAGTCGAAATTCTGTTCTTCAGGATGTCTGTAGCTATTCCACCTTCTAAATCGATCTTCATATAAGGTTTTCTTTTATACAGTAGTTAGTTTTGCATTGAGCAGTTTGAGTTTTATACCCTTATCAGCAAATCGCAATGGATACCCGTTTCGGTAAGTATTTTCTTAAGGAGGCTCAGTTTATTAGGTTTGACATTGGAGCTACAAATTATTCAGATCCATATAACGAGAAATATAAAAAGGTTTTGCTTCCATCTAATGGGGACTCAGCTGTGAAAACTTGACAAGGGTTTCATATAAAAAGATTTCCTAAGAGTTTCGTCGTATTTCCACATTATTTCGACATCAAGAGAGCGAATAATCTGTTTGTTTTAAACGTCATCGAATATATATTGTACACCACAAGTGCACCGTTATAATAATTCGTTCTAGTAAGATTCCAGTAGTCATATATTAATCTGATTATCATTTATGTATTTTCAGACAAAATTGATAGTCTCTGTGAGAGGAAAATCAGGGAATAGTGATTCAACATCAAATGAAATGATATGTTTGTAGTTTTTATTCACGCCTTTTATGTAATTAATGATTTCAAGAGTATCATGTAAGGGATCTATACAAATACTTTTTCGTACCGGTTCAAAGAGATCTGCCAGCCACTTTGCTAAAGAATGATAATGGGATCCGAACATATCAAGAATTGGCCAAGTTTGTGTATTTTAGGCAAACCATATAGCCGTAGATACTAGTGACCTTGTTCGTTTTATACGTTCGTAAATAACTTCTTTAGTTACATGATCACTTTTCGCTCTCTTAAGAACTACATTCAGTTGCTTTTTGATCCTTTCATTAATTTGTTTGAAGAATTTGGTGTTGTCTGACAAGTTTTACATTTTGTTGACATAGATCTTACAGTCTAACAGCACTAAACCTTAATCTTTGTCTGGATGTGTTTTGTTAGTAAATTTAAGTTGATTTTTGTTTTTTTTGTTAGAAAACCCTTACCTGTTACTTTGTGCTCATATATTGGTTGAAGCTATCGAGAAGAGTAGATTTAAAACATTAAAATTCCTGGTCAGTGATTGGACTTTATCCTAAGTTTGTTTGATTAAATTTTCGAGTTGAACATTTGTGTGAATTATATTTGTGAAATTTTTTCATTTATGTCATAGACTTCTGTCCCCAAAGATAAGTTTTTCACTTAGATATTTGATAAGGATACTAAAGGATGAATAAACAGGTATCTTTCAGTTTAATCAAGATGAAACGTGTGAAATAAAAGAATATCACTTTATAGTGTTGTTTTCCGAATATTATCAAAAATTAGTTAGAATTTTATGACAGAATTAATTACAATAAAAAAGGCTTTTGAAAACATTGTTTTCTTATAATTACTGAGTTTATTTTACTTAAATATAAAAAGCTTTACACTTGCAGTGCATGCATTATTTTATAATTTGCTTGAGTTGTTCTTTAAATTAATGTATAGGAAATCCGGTAATTAACACTAATAGCGTAATATCGTCAAGTGTATTTTATTGTTGAAAACTCAAATCTTATCATCTTTCAATAATCTTCGTTTATAAGACTTTTATCACGCAACATGAAAGTTTAAGTTTTGATCTGATTAACTGTTACAGTTTTTTTATCAATCGTTAAACTTCATTGGGTAGATTACCCTGAGATTCTGCGAAAGCAATTAGATTACACAAAATTTGCTTACAGTGCTAAAATCTTAGCAGAAATGTTAATCTTAAGTACTGTTTTCCTAATTTCGCAAATGAACTTAACTTTTTGATAATTGTTTGGTATTGCTTTTAGTTTAATAAATTTCTGAGCGCTTGAAGGTTATGTTTTCGTTACGTTACCAATAGAGTTGTGTCATTTGATTTTGTCTTCAGTACGCTACTATCAATAACAAGTTTTCTTACAATTTGTCTTAGTTTTGTGTTAGTGGCCAAGTGTTACAGTGTTGTGTACCAGTTGCCATTATTGATTTAACCAACAGTACAGATCATATGGGAGTAGCTCAATCGTACCTTGTTACGCAAGTACTGTAGATCTGTACTAAACTCCTAGAAGCAAGAATATGAGACATTCGAATGTTTGATCTGTGTAACTAGTTTGTTCATATGACAATTAAAATTGGCAGTTTTATCTTAGTACAATCTGATAAAAACACACTTCAATTTATTCAACCGATAAAACAGTAAATTTTTATTACTGCTATATTTATTCACAATATCAGCTCGCATCATGGCTAACTCATTATTATTTTCAAAAGTGGAAATGTTCGATATTTTGTTTAAAAAAAACGTTTGTCTACACAACTAACAACAAACCTTCTCTAACTTCAGACAATTTACAAATAAATACAATTTCATTAAATCTAAAAAAGAAAGCAAAATAATTTGATTTTTCTTAAATCATAAAGAGATATGCCTTGTTAACATTTCACTGCAAGATATTTTCCCGTTATGAACGTTTGATTCGAACGTGAACTAATAAAAAACAAAAATAAATAAATCATATGTTATTTAATAAGCTATTATTGATTGGTTTGTATTACAGAATTATCAAAAGCATTAAGAAAGAAAACGATTGTACTGCAATCAATAATTGTTACTATGCCTGCCATATAAGTGTTAAAAAATACCTAAATATATTGTGAGCAATTTTATATCCGATGAAAACTTATGGAATGTTCGTTGAGGCAATACAAAATGGATTACTATTCATAATGAACAAATAAGTTTAAGACAAATTCTTTTGTTGACTGACACAATAATGTTTATTAACTGTATCTTTTATGATATGTCAGAGTAAATAATGAATCTTCGGTAAGTACTTACGACTTGGAAATTCATTTTGACTATGATTTTAAATAGAACAAATGAAAGAAAATTTTAATTTCAAGCCTTCAGTATGAAAGATTAGTTTCTATAGTTATTTTAAGTAATATCTTGATAATTTTATTATTTCTCTTTATGTTACAGAATACAGGAAGGTTGTTAGCATTATTTCTATATCCATATGTAAATGTGTTTTATTTTACCTTTGTTGTTTGTACAATTTTAGTGAACATGTCACGTTCATATGTTTGAGTAAAACGTTAGTATTAACATACCGCAAATTCTGAACGGGCTTAAAATTAATTAAATTCATTACGAGATAGAAATGTAATAAAATCGTTGACTGAGTTTGTGAAATGGAGTTTGCAACCGATAAATAAACACGAGTTTTACTCCCGATTGATGAGAGTAGGTAAGGAAACCTTATCTGTGTAGGAAACAAAGAATCAATCACATAGTATTGTTTCATTAAAACTCTAAAAAAGTAAAAGTCCTTCATACAATCAACAGTTATGTAATTTATGCTTCACTTAAGTTTGGGAAGTGACTAAATCAGCCTTTTCCTTATTTAATCACTATGATCCCAACATCATAACTAAGTTGTTCATGGTTCATATTGTAACTTTCAAGGTGAGTGGATACGTGTTAAACCATAATATTCCTAACAGACAAAAAATTACTCCATACTTACCAATCAATTCCTATAATGTCGGACAGATTATTGAATTCTACAACGTAAGAAAACACTCAGGTGCTAGCCATTCTCTTCGACATTAGCTGTCATTATAAGAATGGAAACCTAAGCTTTACACCACTTATGTATTTAAGACTGGAATATAAATTCCTGTCATTCATCGAAATCTATAATTAGATAAACATATCCTCTGAGATACTAAGCTATTAAATGCAGGAAATTGAATTTTCTACTCAATGAAATATTACAAATATACTTGTTTTTTTAATGTTCCTATTTGTTTATCCATCAAATAATTGATTGGCATTAAAAGTTTTGATAGTTCTTATCTATTATAAAAATTTGATAAAAAGCTGTCACCTGTCATCAGCAGACAACAAATCATATTCAAAGTACCAGATATCTTCAGTGGAAGCTAAAATCACATCAAGATGGGTTGATTATTTGAATATGACAATGTATGAAAATCACTGACATGTTCGAGTTCCCAACAATCATCGTATGTACAATTATTAACTTATCTTGATGAAAGATGAGACCAGTCTACTTTTTTGGAAAATTTCATATTTTCCGTAATAGTTTAATCAACGTCCCGTTATGGCATTGAGACAAATGAAATAAGATATTTAAGAATTCCGGATTAGTATATCTTTTTCCAGTATGATATTTATGTTCAGTAGACACTGTTTTCCTTCCTCAGCTATACGCAGACATTTAGTTATGAAACCTAAGCATTAGATACAATAAGCAAAGTACTTGAAAACAATAAATATGAATTCTCCCTTAGACCTCATTATTTACGAAAATATTTAAAGTTTTCAAACAAATGTATACGGTGACGCTAATTTGGGAGGATATACTAGCATTTATGCATAGATAGCTTAATGTTACGGTGAAGACAGGATACTGGATCAGAGCAAAATCATATATATATATATATATATAAACCTAGAAAATGGATAGTTTTCTAGCTCCTATGATTTTAATCAGTCTCTAAAGAATTTTGTAGTAGAAGAAATACATGAAATAAATGACTTACCGTTTGAAACAAATTTTTGACCTATATTTTTGGTACATATTGTAGGAATTAGGAGACTAACACGAATTACCGTAGGTTAGTTCAAAATTTCGTTGCATCTGTCACACTTGAAAAAAAATATAATGAAAAGTTAAGAACTTCAACATTATCTTTTTAATTAGGTTTCTCCGTGCTTGCTATTATAAAGTATGATATTAATTAATCGGTATTGGGTGGACATTGCGATATATTATTATTTAAACAACAAGTTGAATTGTCTTATGAGCAACAGTTTATTAAAAATTTTCTTACACTATTCCAGTTGTTCTTCTTCGTCTCCGAATAAAGTTTTCTGCATTGAATATCCAAAATATCGCAGGATTTACTGTTGAATTCAGTGGTACCAAATGCTTAACAAGTTAAAAGGAGTAGTATAAAGTTATAGAGAAAATACGATCAAATGTCTAAATAAAAGTGGACGACAGTGAGTAGTGTATTAATTTGTAAAAAATGAAACATGCATGTTAATTCATCTGTCAAATTCCTATAATAGAAATAGTTATATAAATTCAGTATTCATGAATTACACAAATCTTCACCTACAGTATTTTATCATATCTAACAAGCGAGAGCATGCAAGATGATATTTTACAGTTGTTATATGTAAACTCAATACCTCGTGATTCATTTTATCTATGATCTTTAATGCTAATACTCTCTTGAAATTAAGATGTAAGAAAAACTGAATGCATATAAGTAGTACTTTACATCAGTTTATTAATTAACTAATAAGTAAGGAGAAATTGAATAGTTAGTCCCAGTTTTAAGTAGTTAAATGTTTGGAATTGGTCCTGAAAACATTTATAAATTGGTTAAGTGATTTTATTTTTCAAGTTGTGCCATAAAAATAGTCACGTATTCACAGTTCGACCGTGACAAGACGGCACTTAATTATCTAAACCAAAGACGTGCAACTACATTTTCTAAAAGATAAACTTAACTACAGAAGTGAGAAATGTATAAATAGTCATATTCACAGATAATGAAATCATTTTTGAGACAATGTTTTTCAAATCCAAGAAAGTGAAATAAGACTATTTATTATGCGATACAGGAAGATGTATTTTTAAAACTAACTTGAATAATTGGTGAATATTTCATCAAATATGGAGCATATCGTCTCATATATCCATAAGTAACCATTAAGTTCCATACCATAAATGGACACCAACAAATCACATAAGCTAAGTGATAAAACATAAGTAAAATTATTGTTTCGTTTTAAAATACATTTCTATCCATTAATCACAAATTATGGTTATGAAGTAATACAAGTTAACGATTAAATCTAACTTGGATGTCTCCAAAGTTAATGTGATTACAAAGGAAGTAAATCTCAATACATTTCAGGAATTTGTAATCTCGACCTTGTCTTTTGGCTATTGCTTTGTTTGATATTCCTCAAATTTATTTTAAAAATTAAGACAAGTTCACTTATTTTTTTATGTACATCGACTCTTCTGACTTGTCTGGTGAATTTACTTAGATTTACAGTAATTACTTTGTCATCTTCAGATAATTTCACGGACCATATGTTTAGTTTGCGATACAGACATCATGTATTAGCTTTTACCAGATAAGTTATGATCCATAAAAGCTGTTTAATATTCATTGCTTCCCATATTTTCGTATTTATTAATATATAGATTCTTAATCAATAAATAATTAGTACAGATGTTCTGGAACATTTTACAAACAATGAAAATAATCACATTTGCTTTTAGGTATCATTACCAAGGTTTGTCTTGATAATTTTCTTTGAAGAATTGGCTTACACTGGGTCACGAAACGACAGAAAATTCAAAAATCTAATTTTTCTACTCGCCGGGACATTAAAATTATGATATTTTTATTAACACTTGCTATTAGGTTTTACGTCCACATTTTTGACGAATGATTCAGCTGTAAATGGTACAGTGACGTTCTACAGTTTCCACTGAATTTTTGTTACTAAGATATCAGTAGCACTAAGGTCTAATTCAATGCATAATACACATTGAAGTAGGTTCATACTTAAAGCGAGAGTTATATGGGTTAAGACAATTTCATTAAGACATAAAGACATTATATTAAGAAACTGTCAAGATCACATTGTTCATATTAACTGAATCAACGTCTGTCCAGTTCAGAAAGGAACTAGATTACAAATACATTCAATCATATATAAATCTGAAAAAAATTAATTCAATTATTTACTTGAGACTATCAGACAAGTCATTTTGACTGTTTTCACTTTAGCACGGGATATACAACTGGAATGTACATGTTTACGGTTAATACGTCTAGATAATCCAATTCGCAGACTCTTTTTATCGAGTGACAATTCACTTAGCTTTTTGTTTGATATAGAAATCGTAGTTACAGAAAGTGGATTGCTTAGATGTTTTTCCTGAGATCGCTTTTGTCGCAAATCTGGTAGATCATTTATTCTGAATTTTCGAGATTTGGATGCACTCCAAATTTTAATTACGATGATAATATGACAGGTGGCTATAATAAATGCTGGTATGACAAAAACTGACATTGCTATAGAGGTTAGATAGGCCTAAAATTAAAAAGAAAACAACCGACATTGTTTTGATGAAAAAAATGACTTCAAAATAATTCGGTTCAGAAATAAGCTGTTAAGATGAAAATAAAACTTGTGAATGGTCTATTTTGAAATATAAACATTCAGATATCATCACGTTTGTGAAAAAAATTTAATTTTATAGATTTGTTAATCATCTTAAGTGGCTTATGAATACCAGGAGATGACTATTGTTTGATATACATAATTAATAACTGACTAATCATATCAGTGAAGCGCACTTTTTGAAAGCCACCTAGTTTCGGTTTAATTGTAAACAACTTTGACAGACATGGTAACAGTAATCCGAACGAGCAGTCAAGGGATTCATAATTAGCTAATTTTTCATCTCATAACTCTTCTAAATATTTTTAAGACAGCCTTATATAATATTATATACACCAAATCCGTGACTACTAAGAGGTGTATCTGGGGACAGCGCTTGAACGTGGTATAAGAACCTATGTTTGTCTGCAAAGTAAACAGGAATTATCGTCCGAAAGATTTAATGTAAAATATTAATTTTATTTCTATTTCGAAGAAATGAATTGTTTTTCGATTCAGAACTTTACACTTTACTAATTATACGAAATAAATGATCAAGCTAGTGGTCAGCTCCTTACTTTTGTGATCTAAACGAAAACGTGGATAACATGTACAAACCATATGACCACGATTTTGTGACACAAACCACATTATTATGAGATTAATAAAAATCGACTAACAGTATGTATCTATAAATCCCTATTCAAAAGACCAGATTATTACTAGTTAATGCCATTAAAGACCAGAAAACTTTCGGGGGTTCAAGTTATAAATCTATAACACTATACGGATTTAAGTAAATATTTAGAAAACTCTATAAACCTCAAGAGCTTCCTCTGATAGGTTATTAGTTAGTTATGAATAATTTTAGAAACTACCTCAAAGTGTACTCTGACGTCCAGTCAAGCATGACTGTTTTACTTTTTGTATCGAAGTAAATATTCAATTGTTTGACATCTTACTTTACATTCTGATACTTGGTTGGTTAGTCTTTAAACAATTACTTATCGGTTATCTTCGTTATCCAATATTTAATCAGTTTTAACTTATTATTCCTGTTTTAATAGATGGATTTCTTCCGTTAGAAGAATGAATTACATTAAAATTTATACAAAGTAATTTTCATTGAGATCTTTTTTGAAAACTTCCTTATTTTATAGGTATTCTGTAACTGGTTTTAAGTGTATGGTGTGCTGCTAATAATTTTCAAAATAAATAAATGATCTTGAAAACTACTTAATAGTCTACGTAAATCCTTAATATAGTACAACGTTTATCTTTAGTTTGCACACATGGGTTAACTGAATTATGATATAATTATGTCTTTTTTTCCCGAAATTAAACAAACAGAAGGAGATAAAAATTTATGTTTACATTCACATCAACAATATTTTATGCAGTTCGGACATATGTTCTAACAACCTGTGTAATTACCGTCTCCAAACTCTGTATGAATCCTATATAATTCAGACAATAAATGATGATTTATGTGGACTAATAATATTAAATATGATTATTCTTAATTTTGCATATTTTGATGGAGTTTTGTTCTCTGAGCTGGATAGTTTGGTTGTGGAGCTTTCCTCGTTCTTCTGAACGACATCATCAGCACAAACTTTAGATAGAAGTGAGGCGTTCGAATTTCTTCATATGTGGTTCACAGGTTGTCCTGTAGACCCCGATGTTGATTGGTTCTTGTTGACCTTAAACTTATCACTGTTTACTTCTTTGTTTTGGTTGTATCTCCTATTAGGAGATCAAAATCATCCACCTGAGGTAAAAGTCTTCCACACCATCTCATAATTTTACATATAACTGACTTCATAAAATCAGTTGAATTCTGACAACGATGTACGTTTTAATAGTTAAAAAGATGAATAAAACTACTAATCGATATACACAGTGAAATGATATAATATTACTCCCGTAAAATCACCACTGAAGGTCATTCAATAAACTGTTCAGCAAATCAATCCACATTTAGTAAAATAACAGCATTATATACAAATACTTAACAAACAAATCAGTAAATGTAGAAGTCTTTTAAAACATAAGCATTTAAGAAGTGAACGTTTCTCAAGTGACTCAAACACTAATTAAATTAAGGCTTGACTATGAAGCTTGATTTTCAGTAATCATATCAACATTTTAGAGTTAAATAATTCCAGTTATTTCGTGAATTTACAAATAATAACGGATTACATTATGATAATCAGATTTACTATTAAACAGTTTTTCGCATATTGAACCAGGTTTAAAAAAGCATTCAAGAAAATTTCATTTAATACATACACAAAATTTATGATGCCTTCACTGACATCTGCTTAACCTATGTGTAAACTTACTTGTGGACTAATCCTGCTAAAGTCGAATCGACAGTTTTCATACTGTGTCCCTTCATAAACTTTTTGAGCTAGTAACGCTGTAGGTATACCGCATACCACTGCTGCTAACCATGCAGATCCGATTAACATGAGGGCATGTGTTTCTTCAAAATAACAATAGAGAAATAAAAACGCAGCTGGTAAAGAGTTTGAATTTTGCTGATACAGAAAACCATAATGATCCTAGAAAGAACTACCTATCTGATGGCTAAAAAATTTCGGTTTTCATTATCTATTTAAGATGTGGTTTTACTACATCACAGCAAGATTAGTATCGTAACTTAAGAAGTAATCATAAATTTACCTATGATTTAAAAATTTTTCAGAATGCTTAAATATCGTGTAACGGTGACCCTCAAATTATTCCAGTCTAAATAACTACGCTATTTTTTGAAGTATTTACCAGAAGCCACAAGGTCGGTATTCCTATTCAGAGAAAATAATGTCTCATAGAATAATATTGCCTGCATAAAAATCTGTTTATAAGTTGTAAGGTAAGTATCATGAACGTAATATTGGAGATATGAACAGCAAGATGTAGTCGTTTAATTATGTAGATTAATGTAAATTATCCTCAAACATAGTTTACATTAGGGACAAACTTCAACTGTTCAACAGTTGAAAACAAGATAGCACATCAGACACGATCCTTTTTGGTTTGAGATACCTCAGCAAGACGCATGTAAGACTCTATAAAGAATTGAACTAGGAAATGTAAGATGATACAAAATGAGTATCACCGTCTATTTTTTAGTAGGAATATAACAATCGTCATCTACTTATCTTCAGCAGTGTTTCTGGAGCAACTGATTTAAACATTTTTCTAATCAAAGTAAGATGATATTGAGCTGCTGAAATAGTCTATATTCACAAATTTGCAAAAGTTGTTATCTAGGGATAGATTATTTATTTTATCAGTACTTTTCAGTTGTTTACTGCTTTCAGTTAAGACAAGTGGTTATAAATATGAATGCAGTTATAAAGATAACAACTATTTTGAACGTTAAAAAATGCGTTGTAGTTTTGTTCAAATCGATCAAAGCAGTGCGAGAATGAGTTTTGGGAAATGTTTTTTATGACGGATTTCGCTATTTTGAAAGATTTTATGAAATATTGTCTATGTATGTAAATCAATTCCCTCTTTTACTTACGTTTAAAAACAGATATGTAAAATACTTACTTTTACTAAATTTCGATGAGGTAGCTCGGAGCGGTCTACATACAGCCTCTGCACGATCAATACTTAACGCTATTAATGCGAAAGAGCTTCCGTATGTTATGGTAGTCTGGAAGTTATTGACAATAAAACAATGATTTATCAGTGAATTCGAAATCATAATAATCATGCATATTGAATCTATATGTCGGTTACATTTCAGAGATAAACAATTGAATACTCAAAAGTCAGACAGAAACATTTGTTTTCATTGACATTGTCATCAGTTTCCAAATTATAAATCGGCAAGTATTATATTATAATAACCAATTTATTTGCGAATACGTAGATAGGTTATTTTAGAATTAGTAATTATTATCAGTTGAAAATACTAAGTCCATATAAACGTAAACACTTTCAAAGTTGTAAGTATCATTACCAAGGTTTGACTTGATAAATTAGAATAAATTGGGTAGATTGTTATAAATAAATTAATATATATCAAATTTAATCCAAGTTTAAATTAATTTTGATTTGATTATTTATTCTCTGAAGAAGTGGCTTAAACTGAGTCACGAAACATCAGAAAATTCAATTTTTCTACTCATTGGGATATTACAAATATATTAATTTATTTACTTGCAAAGTTGGTCATATAAGATCATATTTGGGGTCACTCTATCAGGTCTGTCTTATAAATTTATTCCATGAAAACCACAGGTAATGAATGCTTCCCTGTGTTTTTCCTTGCTAAACATTCCGTGATATTTTTCAATACTGTTATCACAATAAATCTAACATAATATTTCCCCTCTTTCGTATCATATTTATTTGGTTTTCCTATTGTTAACACATCTGACCTTAAAATGGATTTTAGCCTAAAGTCTTAATCTAACCATACATTGCGGATTTTATAAGTACTTACAGTCAAGATAAACGGTTCGTTATAAACTTGGAACAATAAAAATTAAATCAAATTGGCAGTTGCATTATCAATTGATCTGACAAATCGGTGCAAAGCGTTGTGTGAACATGTCTGATCTTTGTATTCGTATTCGTAATGTTATAACTTATATGCGTGTATGATTTTGAGTTTTCACAGATGAGCATTTTTGCATGCTTGTCCATATTCATTTATCTATAACACTGCTTGTTTATGAGAATCATATAAGATGAAACGCAAACTTATTTACTTGAGTTGGCCGGTAGTAACTTTCAGCTATGCATCTATCTATTATCGTCTATCTGCTGATTTCTACGAATGAAACATATACTTCTTAATTACACTCGTATCCGAGTTATTTTTTCTCTTATCAATAGAGATTCATTCAAAGTAGGTATATATATATATATATTCGTGATGTTAACCATAACAATTAATCATAGATTTCTAGCTTTTGAATAAAGGAAGGATCAAATTTTTCAATACTTTAAAAAATTGGAGCCTGACTCTCTGATTTACTTCTGCCATATGCAGTGTTATGAATTAAGTCTTGGAGCGTCCATGTGATTATTAATTACTAAGGCAAAGGTTCATGTAAATAACGTCCTACAACTAAACAATCCATTCCAGATTCTGTTTACTAATCAGTACTACTTCATATGCAAGAACATTGTTCTCATAAAATAACTTGGTTGATATATAATATGCATTAACGAGGTTTAACAAAGAATACGATTTAATATTCACATGAAATATATAGGAGAATATATTTCCGTACAAAGTATTTAAAATAGTTCAAACTTAACAGAAATCATTTGCCATTTTTTTCTTTTCATAGCTAACAAACATTTTCTGTGACTTTTTATTTAATCAAAATTATATTTTTAAGCGGTTATACTTGGATGATGTACAGTAAATAACTGATTCTGTTTTTTATAGATAATATATTTACAATATAACTGTGGTGTGTGCTACCAGATCGACAAAAGTAGTACATAACGCTAGTCAGGATGATCGAGAAGATCGAGGAGGAAAGAACGGTAACAGAGAGCAATTGGCATAGAAATACAGAAACAATGAAGTCTGTGACAATTGACTGACATTTTGCAAGTGAAGTATTTACCGTATCGTTCTCAAATTTTACTAAGATATTCTGTAATTTTGTATTCAAATACATTCGATTGTCCCTACTTGTGTTCTCATTCACTACATAATGTGTTGTCTATGTTGTATCCTTTCGGAAATTTCCCTATAAATCATGATAGAATAATTCAATAAAAAATAAACATCAATAATTTAATAGTTGAGACCATGAGTCAACTAAAGCTAGACGATCATGAGAAACCTGGAAGCACTGGACGGCCATTTCGTCATAGTGTGGGAATTGTTGTTTCTGGATTTCTTACTTTTAAATTTATTTGGATAAATGAATCTAAATATCTAACGAATCAGAATGAGAGTTTTCCATTCTTAAATTTTTAGTTCATGATGGACAATATTTAAAAATTTTTTTAAATGACAGTGACTTTTGTGAACATTATAAAATGAATTTTCCGGGTTACTAAACAAGCAGTTAAATTATAAAGATCTTGAAATGGAATTGGATAAAAATTGTTAGTTATGGCCAATGTTTTTATCATGAAATGGTTGATATTAATATGATGTAGGAAATAATTTAAAAGTTTTGTTTAGGTCTGAATAAGTCTGAAAAGTCCTAATTGTAGGGCGCTCAGAAAATATATATTATTCCTCTTTAATGACTCACATTAACTCGGCGCCCAAATATTGTGAAACTATTCGTTCAAATTTAGACGAAAGTTCTTATATATAACATCAATGTTTAGATAAATTATTCTCTCATAAAACAGATTTGTGTTTAGGTTCTACTTCCTCAATGATCTAGAAATTTTGTAATTCTTAACTTAACTCATCTATACTGACAATAAAAGGAAGAAATCGTGAATATAAAATATAATCACTTACAGACATATACTTCACTAGTTTACAAACAAATGTTGGTGCATAAAATACAATTGTGATATTCCAAATTATTTCCGGTAAGATTCCACCGAGGGCTACAAAGAGATCTATAGAAAATAAGAATAATAGGAAGAATCAATTTGTGCTAATAAAGATCGGATAAAAAATAATCATGCTTAAATCCCTATATGACGTTTTCAAAAGAGTTGAATTTCTTTCATCTGGTATGCTTTATACCTTTAAAAGACGATTTTACTAGGCTACATCAGAACTGAAAAATAGTATGAACATAAGATTCATTATGTTTAGAAAGGTTCACACTCTCCTCACAAAATTCAGTCTTATAATCATGACGGCAGCTGAAAACCAAGTTATTATGCACTCGCAAAAATAGTTTCCTCACACAAGTTTAGCGGTCTTCTTGTTTGCTATGTTTTGTCAAAGTTTTATGTTTAAGAATAAGCCAATTATAATTAAAAGATATGTTAATTCTTCAAAAGTAAGTATACTTGGTCAAATCCATGTAAATGCGACTCAGGACATCTAGTCGATAACAATGGTTATATACTTTTATTATAAAACCAATCTATAAAACAAGTCTATTGAATATAGATAAGGATCTATTATTCGAACTAGTAAATTATTTGATAAACTTTTACAAATGCTTCTGACTTATGTTAGATTTTTCAGTGAACCCAGATATGATCAGTAAATATCGCAAAACATTGTTGTATCTGAATTTCTTTTCATCATTAATCACGGCTAAGTTAAGCGCCAAACTGCTTCTAAAATATAAGTTAAATTACTGTTCAAAAGATTTTCAAAGTTGCCATTCAACTTATTCAGACTATTCAATATATCGTACTGGTAAATAAAAATTTCAAACATTTCGAACTTTCTGCAATCGTAAACATTGACTTAATGGTTTTCATGTGATATCTAATAAAATAAAAGTTGATTGTACAGTGACCGTTATTTACCCTTGAGACAAACTAGAATTAAATGGAGGTTATTATAAACTTTGTTTGCTGAAGACATTGGTTTACGAATTACCTTAAGTATTGTTGGTAATTGTTCAAAGACACAATATCCTGACGAAAACATTTAATGTCAGATTATTGATAAGAAGTTTATTTTACATGTTTCCTATAAATGCTATTTGATTGGTGATTATTCATGATAAACAATATACACAGTTTAAATGCCTGGTCACATTTTCAACTTGAAACCTTTTCCGAAGCGTGATATCTAAATTTAATAGTGCTCTAAAGTTCATCTGCTCTATTGTTACTAGCTTTAAAATATGCAAACGTTTTTTTAACAAGCATCCCAGACTTAAAAATGATTTTTGTAGAAAAATGGATGGTGCTACAATGGAATCTCGTTTATGTTCTCTTCCAATAGGCTGATTTATATGACATCATGTGAATAGTTGCTATTAGCCAATTTGTAACTGAGTAGAAAGAAAAGCTTAGTCCATTCAGTAGCTAGACGACTGTGCGCAAAAGATCCATGTTCAGCTCATTCTTTTTTAATCGACATACCACTTCTAACTTTTGGAACTTGTAAGTATCAATTATTATCTTGTTGTTTACTTTCTTCTTTGCTGTGAATTGAACATTCGTCTTTGACGTTATGATTCTTATTAACTTGAAAACTATTACACAAACTTTTGATAGGTTTGATTACGTTTAGACTGATATCATGAATAGATCAGTGTTAGACCATCATTGAAAATCTGGAAGAATTGGACGTTCTTTTCGTCCTTGTATGGGACCCCTCAGCAGTGTGAACTCAAGATTCCGAAAACGAGACCTCAGGCCTCGCGCTCAAACGCTTAAACTTTAGGCCACTGAGTAAGCATCCAATGATGGTAACGTCTGGCTTCAGTCAATCCACGATACTGCTCGACCGTTCACCATTGTTTTCAGTGAGTCACGGTTTCTCATCTAGTCACTAGTGCGCAAATGATAAGCGTTCTTTCGTGAGGCCGAAAATCCTGAGCTCGAGCTCCGCGTTTGAAATCATGGATGTGCACTGCTATTGAATCCCATTTTAGGACGAAATGGCCGTCTAGTTCTCTTAGGTTCTCAATGGTGGTCTAGCATTGGTCCATTCATGATATCAATCTAAACCTAACAATCTCCACAACCCTATGCTGATAGTTTTGATTACATTAATAAGTGAAACAACATTCTTCCGTTTACAAACTGTTATATGCATGTCTTAATAGTTTTTGATAACCTTATTAAATAGTACAATACCTCTTCATTTTTTACAAACTCTTATATTCAATAATTAGGAGTGTTTAACTGTTTTTAGTGGGTTTTTGGTGGTCTGATTATAATACCCACCAATAAGATTGTACAGCCTAAAAAATGCCATCATGAAAAGGAAAATTTTTGAGACTAGATTGCATTCATTCTTTTCTTATTCTTTCCTTATGATGTTTTCAGTATAACAAGTTTCTTTGCTTCTTAAATCTTACTATGATCTCCAACAAAATAATTACTGTCATATTTGACTTTGAAATGATAGAATAGAAATCGATTTCGTAAAGTCGTTCAACATACGTACAAAAATATTTGGTTCGCTTAAATATAAATGTACCGAATAACGTAACAATGAGCAAGTGTATATCAATCGGCGATATAAGTTACTGTTTAATTCAAATAATATTCAAAAACAAACCAACAAAACAGTGTATATGTTTCCATCGGTGAATCGTTTTTGAATAGATTCTCGTATCTCTGCTGATAAGTTGTGAATGTTAGTGTTACAGTGATAGAAATAAGGCAGCTGTGATATATTGAGGTTTAGCAAACATATTAAATCTATTAGAAATGTTATTTGCTTGTGTTGATAGATGAATTGTAAATATTTTAGAGGATTCACATTTGAGGGTTAAATTTCACTGACTATTGAATTAATAAACTAATTTTAATTCTTCCTGTTGAGAAGATAAATGCGAACTAGATGGAGACCATCAAAGCATTAAATCTACTGCGTAAATAAAAGATGAGTTGCTTTCAATGGTATGAAGCAAAATAATGATAGCTATTCACTATGGTCTGTTTTATTTCACATAGAGAAAATAAATTTAAGTGATATAATTGATGGCAAACCGAATAGCGATCAGCATAAAGATTCATCTGTTAAACGTTTGAATACGATTACCGAAATAAAATGTGTTATTTTGAATCATAGTAATTCAAGTTTCAGAATGAGGGATAATTGGGATTGATGTAATTTTTATAATTGAATTCATGAGTCGATTTAAGCCCGACCATAATTGGAAACCTGAAAGAACTGGACATCCATTTCGTTTTAGTATGGAACTTCTCAGCATTTGGAATCCACGATCCTGAACACGGGACCTTCGGTCTCATGCGCGAACGCTTAACCTCTAGAACAATGAGTCGGGAATCAGCGGTGTAAATGTCTAACTTCAACTGATCTTGCGCAACCATTCATCCATTGTCTAAAGTAGATAACTGTCTCTACCCAACAACGGATTAAACTTCACTGGTCTAACTTAGATCAACTCATGAATTCAATCATTAAAATTATTTCTATTTTACCTATCGTTCTATTTACTAATGAAAACCAACCTTTTAATTTAAAATGACACTAAATTAAATGTTAGCTGAATATTTACTAAAATGTTTACCTGTAATAGCTAAATTAATAATGAATATTTTCATTTGTGTTTTGATTTTTCTTGAAAAAATCACACCAAGTACAGTCAAATTACCAATAACAATTGTAAAGAATAAAACCAATAAAATGATTAGTCCAATAGATTGTAGCTATAAACAAAGAAAAAAAAGTTAATCCTGTTAATTATAAGAAAAAGTCATAATTAAAAATGGTATTCTATTGTCATGATGCAAAATAATTGTTTCCTTGACTATAATCATAATAAGTATAATAACCTGATAACTGTTGTCACAAATGTCGTTTATAAAAGATAATTAATAATAACCCTATACTTTTAGATATAATGAATGAGATCTTTTGTCAGATAAGATTAGGCAGAACAGGAAATAATTATTCAGTACAATATTTATATACCTTTTGTAAGTATTTAAATGTTCATAGATATAGGCAAGCTATTCTGTACAAGAAAAAGCTTATCTCGTAGTTGATTAAATAATATATCGGCAACATGAACAGTCATGGTTTATTACAAATCATCCAAAATTAGAAAATTCAAATGTGATATACAATAAATAGTTAATTTGATTTTTCATTAGAGTTGAATGATGTTCCGTTGTGATCAAACTGTACGTCCTTGGTTCCATTGATGTCCAATAACCAACCTTAATTAAAAACTTGAGAATGAATGGCATTATCTTAGCAACGTGCATAGGATTCAAACTTCAAAGACGACTAATAAACTACAGTCCTTAACATAAGGACTTGGTAGTCGAATTAACTTTATATAAGTTTCTGAAATTTACTTAGTAGGTTAACTCTGTAATGATAATTTCTTACGACAATGAAACAATCTGTGTAAAAAATTTTACATGTAAGGTTTACAAATATGTTTATAAATACTGTGTCACAGTCTTATACTGATGTATTCATTTTATCATAACAGATCAATTTTAAAAAACAGGCATGTACATGACATTTCCGTACCCAGAGTTTATTTTTTTTCCATTCACGGTTCTTTGGAAATGAAGTAAGTCCGTTTGTAAACCTCAAATTCATGATATGCCAAAAAGATTTAGAAAAAAACTCATTTGTACTGCCTATATAACGAATATTGGTGTATCATTAACATTATTCTCAACACTGTCAACCGAAAACAATCCTTAATAAATGAACATTTTCCGCTTACTGAAACTACTCCATAACTTTAAAATGTGTGTACAAATTTACAATATATACTCAACCTATCTTTGTTCTCTAAAATCTTCAAAATCCGACCTCAACAAGAAATCGATCAATAAATTTATCGCTGTTATTATGATACGCGATTGGATAAATTTTAATAAAAATTAGATAAATGCTGTCTCTAACGTTACAATTATTGACAAGTGTATTCGACTCTTGAAAATTGAAGGTCCATTTATATTCAACTTCATAAAGAGGAGTAGATAATATAAATTATGGTTTGAAAATTTCATGTGTTCAAATAGAACAAATTGAACGCAATGAATTTTGACCTACAAATTACACCAGTAAATACTAGCCAAATAAGTTAATGCTTTAGATGGCGCTTGGAGGTAGTCAGCAGGAAACCCTGGACCCGTATTTCGTGCTATTTGGCACTCGTCAGCAAGATGTACCAGTAATTTTGAGGGAACTGGCGCTCCTTGATGGATTCGATCCCGTGTCACCCAGCTTCACAGTCAGATATGTTACCACTTGGCTATCCAGGTTGAGATATATTCACAACTGACTGATTACCACCCAGTGATCAATCAGTTGTGAAGTTAATGCTTCCCATTTTTATTAATGTTTACACAAATATTTTAACGGTTTGATGAGTTATTTAAATTGTAAGATAAGAGACGAATTTATATTCCTATTTTCAACACAACAAAAGCCAAAAGGTTGTCATAATAAATCGTTAGCAACACAGTTTTTACATAGTGAATTTTAAACATAACTGAAGTTGTACTTGATTACATTATTAGTAGTGTTTAGTAACTAAATTATAAAAGATGTCTAATTAAAATATTTATGTTTGCTAAAACTTGTAATTTATTTGTTACGATCAATACATTTCCCACACATTAACTATATAATCAAGTTTACCAATCTTTCATAACTAAATTTACATTTTCACTAAACAAATGAAATGAATATTATGTGATGATTAGATTGAATTTTCTTAACATTCATCAGAGTTTGAACATTTTGTTTCGGTTAGTTTCTACAGTTATGACCAACTTAAAATAGAATTATTCATCCATCTATGATTTAGCTACAATCAGTAAATTTATCATTGTGATAACTAACTGAGCAGTGGCTTTTATGTATCGCTACATAAAGTATAACAAAACCAGTAGAAAATGAAAGTTATGCCAAAATATATATATATATATACTGATGTTTAGATATGTTGGCAAGTCACTAACTAGTTTGAACGGTGACTCGTAGTGAGTGCATGATGGCTATCTATCATTTGATGCAGATCACTAGTACGAATGTTTAATTGTAGATTTGATTGACAGATCATAAAAGATCTGGGCAAATCACTTACAATCATAATATAGACTGAGATAACTTTGCTGTACTGAAACTTTTCCACTTTTTAATGAATTCTTAAGAATGTTTGTTCGTTCTAGATTTTTTGGTTATAAATGGCCATTGTGTTAATACACCACTTTTAAAACATTTAAATAGATTGAAGGTAAGATTTTCAACCTAATATTTTACGATTGTAATTTGTTGAAGAGTGTATTTTCTGCATGTAACTGTTTTATATCAAGATTTTCAATTTCATTATAATCATAAAATCGAACAACGTACTTGAAGGTAGATTGTAAAATGAATGCAATTAATCTAATTTATGAAGTGAGTTATATTGTTTTATTTAATAATATTTCAATATAATTGCATGAAAATAATGATATTTATCTCACTAGTAAATAATAATGATAATACAGGTTTTAGAAATAACTACAGAACGAAAATCAATTTACAAGCATAATCAGGTTGATACAGAGTTGGAACATATTGTATGATAATATCTGATAACATATACCATATGGTAAAACTATGATGACAAGAAAAAGTTGTATCTTATTGTTAATAAATTACCTTGTACGTTTACATTGCTTTGTACACGTTGATTTCACTGTCTTAATTTTAAAATAATTTATTCATATGCACAGATCCATTATCTAGATTTCTTTGTCAAGGTTATGAACTGAAGATATTTGTCGTTGTTAAGAACGTTTGAATGGATATTATACTTTCTACGAAAAATAATAACCTAAAAATTTACATGTTTGATTATATAGTAAATCAATGATTTATTACAATTTACTACTGAAGAACATCTGATTTGTGGTGTGCTTTGTTGAAATGAACAATAATCTTACATAATAAACATTCAAAATTGTAGATAAAGAACTGATAACTTTGTTGTTACACAAAACTACAGACAACTGATAACATCTCTACAAGACGTTTTCCTTTACATAGCGGCCACTCATTTTTAAATTTTATACATTTAATCCAAATTCTAGATAATAAAAGCAAAATAATGGCTGAATTGAATCTAAATAGAAGAATGTGACTATATGTAACTAGTATACTAGGCTATAAAAATCCAATCAAATGAATGCTAAAGTACAAATAGATTTGTAGGGCTCGGATACATGAGATGTACGTATGTAGCCCAATAATAATTATTATTATCAAAAATAATTAACTTTAATATATTTAAAATTTGATCTACTTCAATCACTTGGTGTTGTTTTACTTGTATCTTCACATTGTTATTTAGGACTGCAATTGATCAACCTCTTGCTGGAATATGTGCATCTTGTACAGATTACCTCGATATAGCCTTAAATCGCAAGTTTCGTTTAAAACCAGCATTTGATAAGTAAGTCGGTTTTATATTCTAATAGAATAATAAAGACTATTTAAACTTTCTGTATTGAATTAATAGTATGCAAAGTGATACCATATAAGGATATAACTATGGAATAGAATGTAATTATTTGACATGGCATTTATTTATTTATTATTTACTTGAAAATTTACTCACAATTACTTAGTCTGAATTAACTTTTTCCAAACCTCGTTTCAAATTTTTAATTCACAACATTCACCAGTACTAAAGTAGTTTTATTTCAAATACGTTTGATTAGTCATTTGATATATATTAAACGATACACGAGTGAGTGGAACAAAATAAAATATGCAGTTGGTTCATGTAACGTATTGTTACATGAATCTTCAACAGTATGCTTAGATGAACGTTTAACAAATTACATATCTAATTCTAGTTATTAGTATGAAAACATAAGTTGAAACTGTTGAGGCGTACTGAATTTTGGCAAATTCGTATTACAACATTATAGAAAAAAGACTTGAAAGCAAATACTTTGAGACTCTATGAAAAATCTTTTGTAATATTTCATAGTCTTCCTAACTGAATACTTATTATCTGACAATTAATTACATCATCTCTGAGTACGTTTGAGGATTGCTCTAAACCAAGAAGAAAATGAAAATTTCGTTTACTGCTATCTACGACGTTTTAGTTATGAATTTCAAGCTTATTGTTAAGCACAAAATTTGTTATTCTCTTATAGAAACATTTTCTTTAAGATCCGATGATTAATCATAAACACTAAAAATAATTTGTAGATTTGAAGTGTGATATAAAATTAAGAAATGTAATATTATTCCATTTATTACCTGAAGTCCCAATAAAATGTTATACAACTGATATATGATAAATGAACTTAAAAGAGCTGTATATCGATCCTTTAAACGAATACAATTGTATATATCAACTCAGGTGAATAACATACTATTTTATTCTGTTAAAATCATTCAGGCATAATGAATAAAGTCACATTTCAAGATACATATTATGTTGTCATATGTCTGATCTAAATATACAATTAGGAAATACAACGAATAAATATATTAATAAAACTATAGATCTATCTTATTGGCATTTCATACGAAACAACACGTCTACACAAATTTTCAAATTCAAATATACCATGATAGGTAATCTATAGAATATATATGATATGTAAGTTAAAGACATGAAATACCTCTACTAGCAAAATTATGTTCTGAATGATCACTTTTAAAAACCAATTTCACTAACATGTCACTATTCTCTGAAATGAAAATGAAAATTCATAAAAAATTAACGATCTAAATATGTTATAAGATCAGTTCTTATTTGTTACGTTTTGCTAAATAAGAATCATATAAATTATCGTTTATAAGGACAAGCTACTTCAAAATTTCAAAAAAAAAAACACAAAAGAAAAATCCATGATAGATTCATCACAACAATTTAAGAACATTATTATAGTCCAATAAGTCCGATAAAATTATATTTGCTTTACATAAATCTTATTATAGATAGATTTCTATTCCCCTTCTAGTATTAAAGATATAATTACGAGAGTTTTGTCTAGTTTCTACGAAAATAATATTCAAATGTAATCAATACTAGTAATTAACGAAATTAGGAACATCTTCCAGACATAAAATGACTGTTCCTATGTAACATTATTCTTTAGACTGAAGATCTAAAAACAAAATCCAGTATGTTTCCTAGTATTATTTAAGAACGAAACGTTTTTATACTGATTTAAACCTTTTTATGCTGATCAATCAGAAAAGTATTTATATAGATGATGATATAATATTAGCGTCACCTGTCGCTAATATTTTCTAAAAATGATATTCATCCTATTCTAAAACAGAAAATCTAAAGCTCTACAAGTGTGATTAACAAATTGTTAAATTTCATAATGAATTTGTCAATATTATACTTTTTAATATCAGATGGGTTTTGTGGAGATTGTAGTAGTTTCAATAATTAAGATCATGAGTCAATTGAAGCTAGACCACGATGGAAAACCTGGAAGCACTGGACGGCCGTTTCTTCCTATTGTGTGACTCCTCAGCAGTGTGCATCCACGACCTCGCCTCCTGCGAGATTCGCACACAGGACCTACTAATTTCGCGCGCGAGCACTTAACCACTAGACCACTGAGCCAGTCGGCATCCAACGGTGTTATTGTCTAACTCCAACTAATCCACGAAATTGAGCGACACATCCACCATTGTCTTCAGTGAGTTACTATCTCACAACAGACCTGGTTGAACTCCATTGGTCACTAATTTTCACTATACCTCCAGGATATACCTCGTGAAGCCAGTCACTAGTGAGCATATGTTGATTAATATCAGATGGATTTTGTGGATATTATAGTAATTTCAATGGTTAAGATCATGAGTCAATTGAAGCTATATCACCATGGAAAACCTGGAAGCACTGGATGGCCCTTCAGTCCTGCTGAGGAGTCCCACAATAGGATGAAACAGCTGTCCAGTGCTTCCGGGTTTTCCGTGGTGGTCTAGCTTCAACTGACTCATGATCTTAGCCATTGAAATTATACTTTTTAATTCATAAGTTCATATAACTAACATTTTAGCTGTGTTAAATTTTGCCGAATATAGAGTAAAAAAACATATATCAGGAGAAATTCCAAGTAATGTTAAATTCTGAAAACTCTATTTCATTATTTGTAACCGTTTTTTAATGTATTTGATGATCAAGATATTCTTGATAACCTCAGTATTTAAATGTTTCGTAGGTTTTAATAAAATGTATCAATAAAATCCATCTTTGTAATATAAATGCAAATTAGGAATTGATAGTATATTCTGTTGTTTTTTTGTTGTTGTTGAAAATCAGCATCATAGTGACCTAATTTTAATACATGTCCTGTATAGTAAACTTTTAAACAAATTTATCTTATCTGAATAAAACTTTATTAAAATACCTATATAGTTTTTGTTCTATAAATCAATGTAAATAAGTTAAAATTTTCCTTTCTAATTGATACATGTGCATTACTAGGTGACTATGGTAATGAAATAAAACTAAAATGTAACATTCACCTTCTCATTACTTTATTGAGGTGACAATTATATTTTTTTAAAAAGATTTAACTGATAGGCAATAGGGAAACAATCTGATTAGACACGTTATGAGTGTAATTCACTTTTTCATTTAACTTATCTTTGTGGCCAAACATTTGAAGGAAGAGAGTCAGTTATAATTTAAATATATAAAGGCGTTCTAGCTGACACTTAAAATAATAAATAATCTTAATTGAAAAACGTTTTTCCCATTAAAATGGATGAATGATTGGAATAATCATGGTAATTTATTTATGAACAATACTCAAGTGAAATTTGACATAAACGTATATTGAGTTCTAAGATATACCAGTGGAAACACTTCTTAAAAAAACTACACATCCAGTTCAACAGTGTTTAAGTCTTAGATTTTGTTTTGGGAATTTGAATTAATTGGTGGCCTATTCCCAATATGAGCTCTATAATAAAATTTCTCATAAGAAGAACATTTGATAACAAAATTATTTATAAAAGAGTTTAAATGGAATTTCTTTTTTGACATCTATAGTTTACAATTGAGAAATTGTGTTGATTGTCAAAGTAATGCAAAATTAAAATTAAAAATCATTTTAGTCATTCATAGGGGATTATTTATATTTACAAAGAGAAAAAACGAAAGTTTACATCTTGTTTTAAGTTAATAAACAATTTAAGTTATTCATTCATCAAAAACAGTTGTCTCATAGATATTCTTAAAATCGTTTGAAATAATCGTTCCAAAGGCATGTGAAATATATATATATATTCAAAGCTTGAGTAAAAAACCGGTCACTTGTTGAACAACTTGATATTGTGGATCTATTTATCTCTGCTTGACAATGTTAGGGAATTGAGAATAAAAATCCCATCGTCTATTGTTACGAATCAATATTTTGAATCAAATTATATCATATTTTGATCTTTATAAAAGTTTTGAGTATAGTGAGGTAAACTTAATATAATTTGAGACTATCATGTAAATTCAAAACTAATCATTATTTATCATTTGTATATAATCAATAATGACGCTTCAATAGCATTCAATGTCTAGTAATTAGAAGAAAGGCCTTATCAATAAAGTAAAATGTAGTTGTGTTAAAAATTCTTGTGATCAAAGTTGTGAATATGCTATATTTGGGTTTTGTATTAAAGCAAATTGTTTTATACAACATTAATTAGCTGATCATAAAACTAATGTTGACCTTGTAGTATGATGATTACGTCATAAAATTTATCAAAAAAGCCCTTAGACCTAAATCAGCACAATCAAGAAATAAAATCTACTTTGAAGGAACCAAAATACTTTGTAAAGATTCGATTTTATGCAAAGAAAGTTAATCAGCCTAACTTCTGTATGTATAGACAAAAATTTATCACGTTTATCATTGGTTTTGCCTTTGAGAAATAGTTTATAAATAAAACGTTTTGGCCGCAACTTCCATTTGTTCCGCTGGTAATATGGATATTAACAATAACGATATTTTAATTATTGTCCTGACTTTAGCATGGAGTATTTTTATAATTAATATCCTATTTGAACAATTTTCTACGATCACATACCGAGGAGAACTTAACAAATATTTCATTTTTAGTCACTAAAATGTTTACACCGAGTACTGTCTTCTTTTTAGATAATAACGTACTGTACTGATAACATAGATCCTTAATTAACATTTTTTCAGTTTTTGTACTCATTAAAGTAGTAGTCAAAATTCACCTCATCCTCGTGTCCCTTTGTGAGGTTCCAGTTTATTTCATATTTACAATCCCATTGTGATTAATATCTTTAATTCATCCATTTTATTTATTATTCTTGTAAAGAAGTCTGAACAATTCTTTTCAAAAGCAGACAACTTTACCTTTAAACAGAATGGTTAAATGTTTAATTTAACTACTCATCTTTTATTTGAGAACTAGACTTTTGTGTTTTTTGCAACAAAACGAATTGGTCGATTTTAAAAAGAACATTTGGGAGGTAGGTCATTTACATCGAAGACAGTATTGATTGTTGTCTATAGTATGATCTACTTCTTCAGATATATTTATCGATCAAATTAACTAATAAAAATAGCCGGAAAAAAAATTAGAGAAATGAACTTTCAAAAAGTACCATGTTGACATGGTCAAATGAGGTCAGAAATTATGAAAATTATTATTCTTTTAAAAATTTATAATTATGAAATAACTCACGTGTTCATCTATAATAACATCCTTTTTATTTTTCAAATCCTCTGTATTATTATAGTCTTTATGACTTAAATTGAAATCCTTAGACTCAGTAACATTTAAAAATATATTTAGTTGATCATTCAACATAACGGTATTGTTGTTATGTAATTAATGAATAAATAAATAAAGATAATTGTAATTTATTCATTGAATTAATAACATTAGATTTAATTTCATTGACTAAAGAAAAAATGTATATTAGGAATTCTATAATCTGCATTATAAAAGTAGCACAATTTCATTGGTTAAAAAATAATCATTTAATCTACCAATAAAATGAATTTTAATAAAGGATAGATTTATTCGATTGAGAATAGATCGTATACTTTAATATTTACTAAATATATGTTATTGTCATTCAAATTTTAGTTAGATTTAATCATTAGAAAATGTTACTTGCACTGTTAAATGTGTTTATTAAAAAAATTGATCCGTTTTAATAATATATTTATGATAGATCCGATAGGTTCGTGGTTCGAATCCTGGATATTGGAATCGTGGATGCACACTGCTAAGGAGTCTCACAGTAGAACGAAATTGCCATCCAATGCTTCCAGGTTTTCCATGGTGGTGTAGTTTAAATCGACTCAACCTTCGGACAATATTTATGATATACATTTTCAATAAATCAATTAGTAAATATTAAATAAAAATCAAGAAAAACCTCTTGAATAGTTTAAACAACACCATAATAAAATATCTCTCTCTAAATTATTCCAGTTATAACTTCTTTTCGGTATTTTATGAGAAAAAAAATGTTAAAAAAACAAAAACAATTAAACTAATGATGAAAGAGCTTTCTTGTGTTATAAATTTAATATCAGGAGTTTTGTGGATGTTATAGTAATTTCAGTGGTTGAGATCATGAGTCAGTTGAAGCTAGACTACGCGACTGATAGGTCCTGGGTTCGAATCTCGCGTGGCGAGATCATGGATGTGCACTGCTGAAGAGTACCATGGTAGGACGAAACGGCCGTCCAGTGCTTCTAGGTTTTCCACGGTGGTCTAGCTTCAAATGACTCAGGATCTCAACTATTGAAATTAGTAAATTTAATTCGTGTTTTTCTTTTGAAGATTTCTAATGACTGCAGAGAATATAAATTCATTTTATTCTCTTGAAAATAAGATCAAATATGATGAGTGACGTAATAAAGATTTTGAAGAAGAGATTTTAGTTTAACAATAAATCGAAATTGTATCTGTCAATAAATGTTTTGTTTTATCAAATCATATTTTATATGAGGATGTTTTAAAAGCTTTTTATTCATTAAAATTACTTTTATATTGTGTTATAACTGTATTATGTGTAAAGTTTTCCGAATGGTTGAAATATATGTAGGTTACTCACATTTTTTGTTTAGATTGTTTTGGTAATTTTAAGTGCTTCGTTGATCAGCATGTTTTCTTTCATAAAATTTAATACTAGTACCTTCTAACTAATTTTTTGAATGTTTTAAGAAATTTGTGAAGTGTTACATAAAGTTTCCAGCTGAAAAGGATGCTTTAGTTAATATCGTTCCCCCTTGACTAAATGATTTAATCATAATTAAACTATCTAGTTTAGCAAATACTACGTCACAAAAGAGCAGATGTGCTTTAAAAGTGAATTTTTAATATTCACAGCAACAATGCACATAGCCAGTCTTTGATGTAAACAAATAATTTGATACAACGTTAACATCGCATCTCACAGAGCAATTTCTTTTCGTGTACTTTATTATGTTTACCTTTTGAACATCAAACTAGTTTTCAACTATTGCAGTTTGGTGTCGATAGGAGTTGAAAAGGAAAGCAACTGTTAACACTAATACATAATGAAAAATCTAAAAGCTATACAATCATTGCAACTCCCAAATATTGAAATACGGATTTCAACTGTTACTTACTTTACTTACTTACGCTTGTTACTCCCATTGGAGTATAGGCCGCCGACCAGCATCCTCCAACCCACTCTGTCATAGACCTTCATTTCCAATTCTATCCAATTGTTGCTTATTTTCCTCTTGTCTTTCTCTATTTATCGGTGTAATGTGTTCTTTGGTCTTCCTCTTCTTCTTCGGCCCTGAGGATTCCAAGTGAGGACTCGCTTTGTTACACAGTTGTGGCTTTCCTCAATATGTAACCTGTCCACTTCCTCCACTATCCTCCTTCTTCCTGATATTCTCCTCCACTGGGGTCTGGTTTGTTCTCTCCTACAGTAGGTTGTTGCTGATAGTGTTTGGCCAACGAATCCGAAGCATTTTGCGTAGACAACTTTTGATAAACACTTGTATCTTCTGGATGATGGTTTTCGTAATTCTCCAAGTTTCTCCTCCATACAGTAGAACTGTCTTGACGTTTGTATTGAAAACTCTGACCTTGGTGCTGGTTGACAATTGTTTTGGGTTCTAGATGTTCTTCAGCCGAAAATATACTGCTCTTACTTTGCCGATCCGCACTTTCACATCTGCATCAGATCCACCGTGCTCATCGATGATACTGCCTAGATATGTAAAGGTTCCTACATTTTCGAAAGTTTCTCTGTCAAGTGTGATTCGATTGGTGCATGTTGTGTATGTTGAGACCTACTGCTGCTGAGGCTTCTGCTAGACTGGTTGTCTTCTCCTGCATTTGTTGTTGCGTGTGCGATAGAAGAGCCAGATCATCTGCGAAGTCTGGATCGTCCAGCTGCATCTTAGCTGTCCACTGTATCCCATGCCTCCCCCAGATGTTTATGTCTTCATGATCCAGTCGATCACCAGGATGAAGAGAAATGGTGAGAGTAAGCAACCTTGCCTGACACTGGTCTTTACTTTGAACGAGTTTGTGAGCTGTCTTCCGTGCATGCTTGTGCAGTTTAATGCATCATATGAATTCTGTACGATATTGACTATTGATATCAACTGTTATTACAACAATACTACAAACCAAGGAAAATACAACGTAGACAACAATACGGAATAAAAGAAAATTCATAAAGTCAACATAGATACAAAATAGTTGATTATTAGAGAAATAATTAAGAAACGTAAGGTGTCAATTCGTAGTAACCAAAACGAAATAATTTTCAGTAATCATGTTATATGTATTGTTAGTTAGCATATGCATTAAGATATGCTAAATGGTAGAATGATTTGAAAGTTAAATATTTGTAAATATTAATGAAATATGTAAATCAATTTACTTAGAGACTTGCAAATGAAGGAAGGCGCACTTAACTGCCCATATTCAGTAAACGTACATACCTAAACATAGTAGATATGGATTTTGATAGTGATTTCAGTCGATAATATTAAGAATGTGAATAAAAATAACTATTGATGCAATTCTTCGCAAATTTTTTTCAGTTTATGCGGAAAAATTAAATATTTTTCATTTTATTCTTTCAAATGTCATAACTTCTATCCAAAATATAGTAAAGAATCCTTTATATATAAGTTCTTCAAAAGAACTATGATCGTTTGGATCAGATTGATATTTAATAGTTTATTTCATGAGACAATTTAAGCTAGACTGCCATGGAAAATTTGGGAGCACTGGACGGCCATTTCATCTTAATATGAGACTCGTCAGAAGTTAGAATCCACGATTCCACGCGTAAACACTTAACCTCTAGACCTAACAGTGTTAATGTCTAACGTCAACCAATCCACGATATTGCGCCACCGTCCACCATTGTATTCAGTGAGTAACTGTCTCACAACGGATACCGTTTAACTTCACTAGTCACGGCTTCCCATTAATACTTTAAGAAATTCACCTTGAAGCCAATCACACATGATGATTATTACAATCTCCACAAACCCTCATTCTGATTTTTAAAAAATAAATTAATATTTATAGAAAATGTCTCCAAATAATTCATTTATCATCACAATAAAACGAAATATAAATTTGGTTACATTCATAATAATCTAGAAGTATTTTGTTGTTTGAAATGAAAGTATAGTGTTCTTACTATATATAATATTTTTTTCAAAATAAAAGCTTTATTAATATCCTAGCACAGAATAGTAAATGTATGTATGTATCCCAAGTCTATAATTATTTTAAACAGTTTAGATCATGAGTCAATTGAAGCTAGTGACTGGCTTCAAGATACATATCTCGGAGTTCCAATGAGAAGCAGTGACCAGTGGAGTTCAACCGCCTGGCGCAAGACTGATAGGTCCTGGGTTCGAATCCCGCGATGCGGGGTCGTGGATGCGCACTGCTGAGTAATCCCATACTGGGACGAAACGGCCGTCCAGTGCTTCCAGATTTTGCATGATGATCTAGCTTCAATTGACTCATATTCTCAACTGTTTAAAATTACTACAATCTTCACAAAATCCCTTCTATATTTAATAATAACATACACCTTATTACCAAGTGTATTCCAAAATTTACATGTTTACAAATCAAACTTATTTTAACAAAAATTATTTTAACTCACATCAATTTCAATTTAAATCAGCCAATTAAATTTATCATTTACAGTAAAAAAAGTCTAATTTGGATTATTTTTTACTCTAATGTCTTTTTTTTTAAAAATATTTATTCGCATAATTCAATTTTCATTATTAGTTTACTGGATTAAGGAGGTATTTATTAACTAAGAAATCTTTTATCATTAATTTACATTTAGTTATTCAAATCAATCCAGTTTTGTTAAAGATGGAAATAAATGAATTTACAACTTGTGTTTTCTTTTTAATTTTTATAATTTTCATTCATCACTGTTGTGATTATGTAAAAAGATGAAATTGATAATGTGCTAGGTTTGAAGCTATCACGAGTTCACTTAATCTGCGAACGAAAAACGAGACTCGGTGACCAAAGACCAGTAAGCTAACCATTGATGCGTCCCAGCCCCTCTAACTGGAGGGAGAAGTCTGAGCTTGGATTGGGAAGTATATTCTGCAAACAGCCAAAAACGAGCGATAACAACAAACACAATTCAAAATGTATATACACAGTGCAAAACCGTCGTTGGGGAAAGTTACCAAATAGCATACTAAAAGACGCGACGGACCAATAGCATTTAAGATATTTCCCAGTGGGAAATACATGGAAGTGACAAGAGCGCCTTTGGCGCGAAAACAAAAAGAAATTCAAATTGTCTAAAT